TTACAATTACTACCTTTTTAAATTACGAATCATGGTATTACATTTTTGTTAAAACTACAATATTGTATACTTTCTAGCTTAATCTTTGAGTTTTTATTTTTGTTTACGATAAACTATTAATGCATCGGTTTAATGGTTTGAGTGAATTTTGAATATATTTTCAGTCCAATATTATGATCCAAAAACATTATATTATTATTTTTTTCCCTGTAAAACCTTCTACAATCTAAAAATACATATATATTCTTTTTTTGGTCAAAACATATATATTCTGATAATTATTTTTTTTCCAGACGTGCATACTTTTACTTAAATATTATAATAAAATATAATGATGACCAAATATCTATATATACAATGAGACATATAGTTGTACATGTCTGAGATGTAGCTTATTTTAGTTCCATATTTCATAATATCTATAATAGTAAGTTGGTGGTGGTTAAATGCAACATTTACTTGCATGTTAAATGTCCTCAATATAATCACCTCATATATGTTTTTTCTTTTTTGTTACTTCCCCACATTGTTTGTTGAAGATTTATAACTTCAAATTTTGATAAAATTTGGTAATGAATACGTATGTGAATGACTTATATATACTGGCAATTATTATACCTTTTAAGAAGTTAAAAAATTTTGTGCTCGTGAATTTTAAAGAGGTCCACTAATTCTTTCATCCATTTTGTTTATTTATTCAGTTATCTTATTGTTTTACTTTGTATAGTTACATCTTTTTGTAGTTCTTCGCGTGTGTGTGTTACTCGAACAATACGATGGAAAGTACATATAGAAGAATATTAGGGAGTTTTCCCATTCCAAAGTTAAGCAAGCTATGCCTTTATTTTAGTACTTAGGCTTTTGGATAATAAAAAAACGAAAGTTGTGATTCATGTGACTTTTAAGTATCTGTCTATCAGTCCATGTGTACTGCAATTATACAACTCCCTGCTTTATATCTATTTTCCAACTTCTTTTCTCTGTTTGGAATATTTCTACGAAAATCAAACATTTTATCAACCCCAATACCAGCCTAGCTCAGTCAATAACCACCATACAGTCATCAACCAACATATGTGTTCTTCTCAATCTATGAAACAATGTTGTTGTTTCTGGTTCAATCTCAAACTATCAAGGCGTACATATGATGGTATAGAGATGAAGAAGCATGAATCTCAGTCCACGCCTGCTGGTTTTTTGGATGCATCAATTTAAAAACGTGTGGGACAGACTAATTAGCTAGATTTGCATTCCATGATCTCCTGGATGCTTAGCTGCACTGAATCCCTCTTCTAAGGATTTTCAGCTTCATCTTGCACATGATCTCTTTGGCATTTAATTAAAGACCATGTATGCATTCTACAAAAAATTTAGAATCAACATAAAGTTGCAATTAAAAAGCATTAATGATCCTAAGAGTCTTAGTTCACTCTAGGTTGATGATTCCCAAATTATCAATGAAAAATGACCAGTAAACCCATAAAACAAACAGCCCGCATGCATGTTCTACCTTGGATTTAAAAGTATATGGAACTTAGAAAAACCGCTGAGAAATTGTACCTTGAGCGTGACAATTGATAACAGTCAAAAAGTCAAGCACTCAGCTTGATTATGTATTTGCAGCTGCTACCTCTGTTTATTGAAAGTTATTGTTGACTTCGGAACACCTTAATCTGATGGTCAATTTTCTTTTAAAAAACTGTGAGAAATGCAAAACATTTGTTCTTCATATCCCATCTCCGATAGTAATCAAGTGAAACCACAAATAAATGATTTCTTGCTCCTTCTACTCAGCTGCAGAAACATATAAATGCAGAGGAATCAAAATATTTTAGGCATACTACTTAAGACTTCAGGGATATTTACCTTTGTTCCACCAACTCAAACTCATGACTGATATTCGGGATTTTCGTCTTCTGCTGTTGAACTAACACTGCAACGAACGTTTCTCTGTCACAATAGCTAACATTGGCTCCGTCGAAGTAATGATCCTGAGTCGTGAAACTAAACCCTGAGGATCTGGAACAATCTTATGTCACCTGACAAAATAAGATATGAAACAGGGAATGTTTTCATAAGAACTCAACATCTTGGATTTGAAAACGAAACTCATCATATTTGATATGCTTGAATGCGGCCAAATTACGTAACGGTGGCGGGTTTCGTTGCCGATGAAACAACTCCAGTCAAATAGTCACATGATTTTGTTGGCCGTAAGATCAGCAGGAGAGAGGAGTTTCTTCACAGTAACAAAGTCATTTCTGATCCTTGTTTATGAGTTGGTGAGAAGAAGAACAGAGTTCTTGCCGCATAAGCTCATTTCCTCCCTATATCAAATCTGATCTTTGATGTTCCATGATTTTGCTCTCTCGGGTCATTCCATAGATATTTTGCACGTAAAACTGATTCTAGTCTTTCCATTGGATCAAATACAGCCCTGAGAAAACCAACAAAACCAATGTGAGAGACAAAGCAAGCTTTAACATTACAGATTCATGCTCATTTTTCCAGAAAAACCAAAATTCAGAATCAAAACGTTTCTTAAGATTAATTTATGTCTTCATACATATATATTGTAAAAATTGGTTCAAGTGTAAGAATCGAAATTTGGAACTTAAAACTAAAATCTAAGACAACTCTTCCTCAAACAATGACCAACGCTTCATGTCAAATCCAATCACCAAATGCATAAACTGAGAGGATCTTACCATCAAGCCTTTCCAATGGTTTGTGAGCTTCGTATACTTAAAGTGAACAAATGCAAAGCCACGCGAAACTCCAGTCCTAAAACGACAAACAACACGCATCAAAGAGAAACAATAAATGAGTCAATTACAAAGACATGAACTATAGTTCTCACTAACCTTCAATCTCTGAGAATAAAGGTCATATGCAGTCGTACCTACACAACACATAAGAAAACCATAAGTTTCTCAGGAAAAAGAGATAACGGTGAGCCGGAGAGAGGAGCTTGACATTCTAATTCTGAAAGATGAAGAATAGAAATATTGAGATGAATGTAATGATGGTCGGTGCGTTTTGTTTCTCCGCGCAACTCGGGAGGCGATACGTCGACGGTGCCGGATCGTTAAGGAGACGGGAGAGCAAAGGATCCGCCTTTAACCTAATCAAACCATGTATAAACTTATTTGGGCTTCTTGTTACATCGATTAAAATAGCTAAATGGGGATCAATTACAGTAGAGCTCCAACCAAAAGCATCAAACCGTTTGGTTTAGTTTTGGTGGACAGATGTCACATTAAAGGGAGTCTATTTTATGACATCACTTGATGATGTGGGTGAAGGAGAAAAGAGTGAAGCTTTTCTTTATATATGAAGATTTGATTGTTTGTTTTATTTTAATAATATAAAATTAAAGAAAAATGATGGAGGAGATACAAATTGTTATCAAATATTTATTATTAGAAACATTAATTGTCATATATATATATATATATATATATATATATATTTGTCATTTATGGTAATTCTGTAGCTTTTATTGAAGGAAATAAAATAAAATAGTAATTATATCTAGCAGGACAATCATAAATGCTTCTATCATAAATATCATATCATATCATATCATATCATATCATATAGTTTGACCAACAAATATATCTAGCGACATATAAAAATTAAATGTGGACCTACTTATTTTTCAATTGAATGTAATTGATTACCTAATTAAGTGACACGTAAGCATGAGCTCTTTTTTAATTATTACAAAATTGAGATTATAATTTTTCAAATGTTTCTCAATTAATATATAGGGGATTAGTAACAACGTGATATAATAAGTGAGCGGAATTATTAGTTGACCTCCATGTTATGGAGCTTCCATAGGCAAGAATAAGATAAAAGAAAAGAAAAAAAAAATATATATATATATATACATATATATAGCAATTCTGAATTTTGATCTCAAATCCAATAATCTATATGTGCATATCAATTTGAAGATTTTTGACTATATTAAACGAATATATATCTAATTCAAATGAAGGTAATAGACTAATAGTTAATCGACCTATTCAAAGCATACAATATGCTAAGTTAGTTTGATCCACGTTTATACGCAATTGACTATTAGTGATAGCGATGCACATACTAATGCTTTCACGTAATATATATGATTCAAAGTCATTATCCAAATATCTATTTTAATTTGTGCTTCCTATAGACTGTTTTTATACATTCAGTGTTTTTACGGTTTAGCAAATATAGTGATACAGATGCACATACTAATGCTTTCACGTAATATATATGATTCAAAGTCATTATCCAAATATTTATTTATTTGTGCTTTCTATAGGCTATTTGAAAAGTAGATCTATATAAATTGTCAGTGTTTTTACGGTTTAGAAAATATAGGAGTTTGGTTCGGTACAATTTCAGCTTCAATGTAGTTCCTCATAAGTCATAAAGCCTATCATGTGTCTGTTGCTTAAGTCTCAAGGGAAATATCCTTCTTCCGCTAGCTTTTGTTTTCTGTAAGTTGTGAATCCCACCAATATAATCCCAAATCTGAATTCCTCCTTGTTAATCTAATGAAGTTTCAGTGTTAAAAAAAAAAAAGAAGTCATGAAGCATATTCTTCAATTCAAGTAATTTTGACACGAAGGTAAGCCAATCGATTTTTTTGGTTTGGTTCAACCGAGTCAAATAGGAATCAATATTGCTCTTTTGTTTGGTCACCATTCAAAAGTAAACAAAAAATTATTTGTATTCTGTATGGAAATGTTATATTGTCGGCTATTGCTTTCCTTAAACGTTAAAAGAGTTTCTGCAGATAAATTAAGAACCTGAAACTTTCTGTCTATCAAAGAAAATGTATTATATTGGATATAGTCTCGACACGCCTCAGTTACGCGAATAAATATTTATATCCACCAGAACCATATTGTATCTCCAAAGTTTCCAACATAATTGATCTTCTTCGATCCAGAGAGCTTCTCTGACCCTAAAGTAGAGAGGAAACATTAAACATCTGAAATACTATGGACGAAGAAGACAAGAAAGTGACTAAGTGTTTTAGCTTCAAGAGAACAAAGAAGAAGAAGAAAGAAGAGGAGAAACTAATAGTATCTACAGAAATCGCAAAGAGATGGAGAGATCTGAGCGGTCAGAACCATTGGAAAGGGATGTTACAGCCATTGGATCAAGATCTCCGGCAGTATATCATACATTACGGAGAGATGGCTCAGGCTGGTTATGATACTTTCAACATAAACACCGAATCAAAATTCGCCGGCGCTAGCATTTACTCCAGAAAAGATTTTTTTGCCAAGGTAACACTGAAAATTTTCTTCTTCTTCTTCTTCTTCTTCTTAAAATAATTTTTTTGTAGCTTCTGCAAGAACTAAATTAAATGACAATTCGTTGCAAATTTGTAATTGGTAAGTGTTGTCTAGAAAGGCTCTAATTGGTAAGCTTCATAACTATAGACTTGTGACATTATTTATTTTGTTATTCTTTCAGTTTTCCACATTCAATATGGTCTTAACGCTTTATCATATATATATATATATATATATATATATATATATATATATATATATATATATATCTGTAGAACATATGAAGAAGAAGAAAGAATATTTGTAGAATCGGGACCATGTTTGGTAAAAAGAAGCATGTTAATCCATTTCAAATCTTGAAATGAATAAAAGGAGTAGAATAAACGACTCACTAATTTAAATAGTTTGATTGAATTTTTATAAAATATCTGATTGGTTAACGTTCTAGTGTGTATAATTTTTGGTAGAATTTAGGCTTAGATTTTAATGCTACAGGGTTTTCATTGTAGGTTTTAAATTCTTCGTACCTCATCAATATTCTAATAGCAAAACATCAATATTTTAATTATTTCATACAGCTAAAAAGAATAAGAAAAAAAATCTGTAACATCTGTATAGAACATGGTTCGAAGAAATTTACTGTTTTAAATTATAGCTATAAAAACTCTAACTAACTCATCAATCATGATTAAAATCTTTTGTAAATTAAAAAAAGAAACATCTATGTAATCTAATAAAATATTTGCTATGTCGCACTGGCAGAGCCGCTCTACCCTAAGAGAGTAAGTGGAAGTCAAATAAAACATTGGCGGGAGGCCTTGTATAAAATGATTAGTTTAAGGGCCCAAAATGCACAAAAGGTTATTATTGTTTGCTAGTAAACGTTTATTTTCATATTAGGATAGCCCTGTTCGTTTCAGAGACGCAGCGATCACTTCCGGAGATCAAAAATCAGTCATCAAATTAGGCAAAAACAAAAGTGACGTAATAATCAAGGGACGCTGCGATCAACTTTTACAAGGATTGCTGGTGGCTATTCTGCCGATGTGTAAAATAGCGTCAATTAAAATGGTGATGCGTCTGTTTCTGAGCGTCAAAAGTACGGCTGCGGTGATAGTCTCCACATACCTGAGCAAGAAGTTAGTTATAGTTTTGATCGCCAGTAGTGGATGCTGCGTCTCTGAAACGAACAGAGCTGATGTCGTGTGTTCGAATATCCATCTTGGGATTTGCTTTTCTTTATAATTATATAAAGGTAAAAAAAACATTTGGCTAGGAGCAATCAAATTCTTAGTTCTGGTCTGCTTGGTGGTCCCTCAAGTAATAAACCATATTTTGTCCCAAACAAGCCTTATTTGTTGCAGTATACATATTTCCGTATACTCTCTCGATTATGCTAGTCTGCAATATCACTACTAGAGTCGAGAAAACATTTATGTTACGCATAAAGAGAGAAGGTGTATTCTTGTCACGCAATCAACCGAAACCAAACCTAATTGATTTGATTCTTAACCGAAGGTTTATTTGATTCTTACAACACGTGTACAGGTTGGTTTAGAGAAAGCTCATCCGTATACAAAGTACAAAGTGACCAAGTTTTTGTACGCGACATCACAGATCCACGTGCCTGAGTCATTCCTATTGTTCCCATTGTCACGTGAGGGATGGACAAAGGAATCGAACTGGATGGGTTACGTAGCGGTGACAGATGACCAAGGCACGGCGGTTCTTGGTCGGAGAGATATAGTCGTCGCTTGGAGAGGCTCAGTGCAACCACTTGAATGGGTCAACGACTTCGAATTCGGTTTAGTGGAGGCCAAAAATATCTTCGGTGACAAAAATGATCAAGTACGAGTCCATCAAGGTTGGTACTCAATCTACATGTCTGAGGACGAACGATCACCTTTTAATAAGGCCAATGCTCGTGACCAGGTATGTTTATATGTTACTTATTAAATGACGATTTTTACTATTTTGGTATTTTGCGAAAATCTCTTAGTGATTTTTTTGAAAAAGGTGTTGCGAGAGATTGAGAGATTGTTGGAGAGGTATAAGGATGAAGAGGTTAGTATAAGTATCTGTGGTCATAGTCTTGGAGCTGCGCTCGCCACGCTTAATGCTACGGATATAGTGGCTAATGGTTATAACAGACCGAAGAGCCGTCCTGACAAATCTTGTCCCGTTACGGCCTTTGTCTTTGCTAGTCCTCGTGTTGGAGATTCTGATTATAAGAAACTCTTCTCCGGGTACGTCCCTCCCATCTATTTACATATTACAACATTATTGCCATCTAATATCCAAATATGACCAAAAGTATATATATATATATATATATATATTATCCTTTCTTGTATGACTCAAAATTCAGGTTAATTCTTAAACATTCTGGTTAAATAAATTATAAAAATAGATAATACAAAAGATCAGATGAATTTAAAATGACTTGGTCAGAAATTATGATAAGCCTAATTTACTACTCGTAACTTAATTTATAGGTATATAAATATCTAAGCAACCAATTAGGATAGTAATATTCTGTTGGATCTCTGTTTTGGAGAAGCTAATCTTTTTTTATTTTCCGGTGACTTTTCCGGCCAAACCGGTGGTCGTTCCGGTCAGATCATCAGTTCGTTGTAAAGTTTGTAACGAGTACTATAACGTGGTATATTCACACTTTAAAAAAGATCAAAATTGAATACGAAATGAAGCTTTGAAGTTGGTATTTTGGTGTGGACGAAAACCAACAATCCCAGATTTTTGGTTTGTCGCACATCGGCCAAAGAGGAAGAAATGGAGCAGTATATATATGCTCAAGAGTTAGGAGTGTGTAAACACCTCAGGGTAAGGGATGGCTCCCCGCGCGCCGCCGCTGTCCGGCCGGCTTGGGCTTGGGCTTTATTGTCGGGCCATTGGCTTGGGCTTTGGTCCGATAAGAAGTTATCTTTTTAGATCAAATTAAGCTCAACGCTTTGCCATTTAAACTTCAAAAAACAGCATGCAATTTTATTTAAAAACGAGCAGTAGTTTGTCAAACAAATAAAAAAAACCGTCATGCTGTTTATTCCTCGCCAGATATTTTAATAAAAACGAGAGAGCGAGTCTTAGGGGAGAAGTTTCGTAACTTAAACTTTCCGAGATCTTTGCCAAATCCCCACTAACGAGCACACGTTACGGGAAGTTTCGTAACTTAAACTTTCCGAGATTTTTGCCAAATCCCCACTAACGAGCACACATTACGGGAAGTTTCTCCTCGTCTTTTCTTTAAATATCGTCTCTCCTCTTTCTTCATTCTTAACTTTTTCACGCAAGAAAAAACCAGCAAATCTCCCAGAGTAAGTTTAGAGAGTGTTCGTAGAATTTTAGTTCGATAGGTCGTTTCACGAGTGAAGCGTGATTCGTCTGCCATGGTTGTATCCTGGGACTCGATATTCGTACAGTTTTGTCTCACTACGGAGCGAATATTAAGAGTTAAGGAAAGAGATTTATCTCGCCTCCATGTCTTATATAATCGTCTATTTCCTTAACTCCGTCTTTCTAATATCGTTTATGTCGATCCAATTTTCCAGCTTCTACAATCTTAACTCTTAATTGCTTTCTGTCTAAAGCTTTAATCGGGTTGAAAAAAGCGATGTATAGAAACGGGTTCTGGAACAGTGTTTGCAATTTTCTCTATAGCACTTCCGAGAAACGTTGTACGTTTAATATTTGTCTACTATACGTTTTGCGATTTGCTATATAGCACTTCCGCGAAACGGTCTTTGAAACGCTGTTTGCGATTTGGTTTTATCATTTCCGCGAAACGTTTCGTACTTATCTCAAAACGATTTGCGGTTTGCTTATAGCATCATCCGCGAAACGTTTTAGATACTTGTTTCTTTCAAAACGTTAATATATGAATCGTTTTCACAGATGCTTCATTAAGTGAATTTGTGAAACATTCTAAGTCTACACTAAACGGTTTCTGCGAACGCTTATAAGCGAGTTTGCAAAACGTTTTTCCAGACTTGTATCGATATGATTTGGTTCAGATTACCAAAAATGAAAATCGATTTCACACTATTATTTTTGCTTAAAAATAATATGTTGTTATTTGAATGGTTGTATGGAGTACTGATCCATTTTCATATTTTCTTTACAGAAAAATGACGAACGATGATAACACCCCCATTGACCTTGCCACTCAGACTCCACTCAACGCGACAGCACCTGTTGCAACCGGCGTGGCGAACGTTGTATCAACCGATGCAACCCTTCCAGTGGGTGCTGTTCCTGATGAGACCACACGCCATAGCCTGTTCGGTGCTGGTCTTTATCAAACGGGTCCAATTCAAGGATCCACAAGTGTTCCGGTTGCAGTTGCGACTCCTCCGGCTATTCCTGGTGTCATCTCTCAGAATATGATGCCAGAAAAATTTGATGGCAAAGGCTTCAAAACGTGGCAGAAGAAGATGCTGTTCTTCCTCAATTTGTGCAAGTTGGACAAATTCATTGAGGAAGATAAGCCCATTATCCCTCACGGGATTGACGATATGCACGTCTTCTCAAGTGTTGAAAGTTGGGTGCATTTGGATTTCATCTGCAAAGGCTACATTTTGGGTCATCTCATTGACCCATTGTACCAAGTCTACTGTGAGATTCCAACGGCTAAAGAGCTCTGGAAATCACTGGACAAGAAGTATAGAGGTGAAGACGCTGGCTGCCAGAAGTATGTAGTTGCGAACTTCCATGACTTCAAAATGGTGGATTCAAAACCTATCATGGATCAGGTGGAAGTGTATCAGCTCATTTGCTAAGAAATTGCTGCTAAGGGAATATCCATAGATGAGACATTCATAACCCTCAGTCTCATCCAAAAGCTTCCTCCAAGCTATGCTGAATTCAAGAACTACCTGAAGCACAAAAAGAAGAAGATGGAACTTGAGGATCTCATTCAGAGGCTTCAGATGGAAGCCAGAAACCGAAAGAATGACAAGCTCGAAGCTAAAGAGCACAGTTTTAATGTGGCTGAAACGAAAGGTAAAGGAAAGGCAATTGTTAACTCTCCTGCCAAGCCTTCCAAGACAGCTGCAAACTTGAAGGTTTGTGGACCAAACTTCAAGAAGAAAGCAAAGGCAATAAAACAATGAGAATGTGGAGAAATTCAAGGGAAAGTGCCACTACTGTCATAAAAATGGTCACAAGACTGTTGAGTGTCGCAGCAAGATCAGAGATGAGAAGGCCCAGGTGAATCTCACGGAAGAAGATCTCGTTGCAGTGGTGACTGAAGTCAACATGGTTGAAAACAGCAACCCTAAAGAATGGTGGTATGATACTGGTGCCACCACCCACATTTGCTCTGATAGGGCGATGTTCAGCACTTATAAAAAAAACAAGACTCAGGAGAAGCTGTTCATGGGGAACAAAGCAGTCTCCAAGATTGAAGGCCGCGGCAAGGTGGTTCTGAAGATGACATCTGGACGTGAAGTCACTCTGCAGAATGTGAAGCATGTGCTTGACATGAGGAAGAACTTCGTTTCAGGAACCTTGCTCAGCAAGAATGGATTCGCCACATCTCTTGAGGCGGACAAGCTCGTGATTAGGAAGAATGGGGTGTATTTGGGAAAGGGGTATGTTAAGGATGGAATGGTCAACATGAATGTAATGACAGTACTTCCAAAAGTTGTAGCTCCAAAAGTTTCAATGAATAAGAAAGAGCCAGTTGCTTATTTGGTCGAGTCTTTTAATATTTGGCATGAAAGATTAGGCCATGTGAACTACAAATCGATACAAAGATTAATGAATCTAAATCTAATCCTAAAATGTAAAATAAGTAAACAAAAATGTGAAGTATGCGTACATGCTAAGCTCACAAAAACACCCTCACCTCATGTTGAAAGAACTAACAAACCTTTAGATTTAATTTACACCGATTTATGTGATTTAAAATATATACAAACTAGAGGTGGCAAAAATTACTTTGTGACCTTCATAGATGATTGCACAAAATATTGTTACGTATACTTATTACGTAGCAAAGATGAAACCTTAGAAAAATTCAAAGAATTTAAACTCAAGGTAGAAAATCAGCTTGAAACAACTATTAAAATAGTTAGAAGTGATAGAGGAGGCGAGTATGATGGGCCATTCAATGAATTCTGTAAAGAACATGGAATAATCCATCAAACTACAACCTCTTACTCACCAGAATCTAATGGAGTTGCTGAACGCAAAAATCGAACTCTAAAAGAGATGATGAATGCAATGTTGCAGGAAACTGGATTACCCCAGAACATGTGGGGGGGGGGGGGAAGCGCTGCTTACCACTAATTATATCCTCAACAAAATTTCACACAAAGTAACTAGCAAAACTCCATATGAATTATGGAAAGGTAATTTACTATCGTATAAATTCCTTAAAGTGTGGGGGTGCTTGGCAAAAGTTGCGGTACCACCACCAAGAAAGGTCACTATTGGACCAAAAACAGTGGATTGCATTTTCATCGGATATGCACATAACAGTAGTGCTTATCGATTTCTGGTACATAAATCTGAAATATCAGATATTCATGAAAACACAGTAATGGAATCAAGAAATGCATCTTTCTTCGAAAATATTTTCCCATGCAAGGAAAAACAAGGTTCAAAATGAACTTGAGAAGAAAGAGACAACGACAATGTTTCAGAAACTAAGACAAACGTAGAGATTTCTACAAATGATATTTCAGAAAATGAAAAAGATGAACCTATAAGGAGCAAAAGAGCTCGAAAGGAAAAATCTTTTGGAGAAGATTTCTTAATGGCATTTCTAGTAGAAAATGTTCCAAAAACTTTGGCAGAGGCCATGGCTTCACCAGAAGCTCCGTTTTGGAACGAAGCTGTCAGAAGTGAATTTGACTCTATCATGCAAAATTATACATGGTACATAACAGATTTACCACCTGGCTGCAAAGCATTAGGAGATAAATGGATAATGACGCGGAAACCTGGTGAAAAATACAAAGCTAGGCTTGTAGTTCAAGGATTCCAACAGAAGGAAGGCCATGACTATTTTGATACATATTCTCCAGTAACGAGAATAACATCAATAAGACTGATGATAGCAATCACAGCCTTAAGAGACCTAGAAATCCATCAAATGGATGTAAAAACCGCTTTTCTAAATGGTGATTTAGAAGAGGAAATTTACATGAACAACCTGAGGGGTTTGTCATTCCTGGACAGGAAGGCAAAGTATGTCGACTAGTAAAGTCACTTTATTGGTTTAAAC